CCAAAAAAAAAAAAAAAAAAAAAAAAAAAGCCCAGCTCTGGCTGGCATCCAGAGGGGGTGTGTGCCGAGTCATGCCTGGAGAGCTCCAGCTATAATAGTCCACCATTGTTCCGGAGAATACCTTTGGCCGGTAGCTTTGTGTGATCCCAGTTCCTAGGCTCTAAATTAACACTGACTTTACAGTTTCTAGAGTGGCTCTTAATCCTTTTGTATATAGTGGTGATAGGACGTGGGGTTTAGACGTACATGATATCCTTTTACCCTTAGGAGACTTTTGACTTCTGGGAAAATGGCAAGTGGCTGAAACTCCACACACCCTGTCAGTACCAGACCCAGAAAGTGCTCCCGGGCGTGCCCTGCCCCTGGGGCCATCTCTGCCCACCCCTACTCCCAGCTCTGATCTTGCCTTAGGCGATGGGCTTAATTATTTCCCAGAAAGGCACAAGAATAGCTTTTGGATCAAAGAATGGTTTCTCAGTGAAATGAAGATGGACTTCTTGTGGCGTTTAGTCTCTGGGTTTGGAAGTTTGACGGGGGATGGGGGTATGTTTGTCTTTCCTTCTGGTTTCAGAGGGCACTTGGGGATTTTCTGAGGGGCACACACTGGTCGGCACGCCGACTAGGCCCAGCCCACCTGGGCTGTGCTGGGTGCCGAGGGGATGCAAAAGGACAGAGTAGGGGGCTTCCCTGGTGGCGCAGTGGTTGAGAGTCCGCCTGCCGATGCAGGGGACACGGGTTCATGCCCCGGTCCGGGAAGATCCCACGTGCCGCGGAGCGGCTGGGCCCACGAGCCACGGCCACTGAGCCTGTGCATCCGGAGCCTGTGCTCCACGACGGGAGAGGCCGCGACAGTGAGAGGCCCGTGTACTGAAAAAAAAAAAAAGGACAGAGGAGGACAGCCTTGCCCCCAGGGACCTTTCATCTACGTCACCCATGGACCTGAGGGTGAGGACCACTCAGTTCTAGAAGGCGAGGATTCATGGGCGACTGAAAGCCAGACATAAAGGGGGAGCATCGTGACTAAATAGGCCCAACGTCCCCCTTCCAGCTTTGTCCCCAGAGCCCGCGAGGGGAGTCTGACTGCAGTCTGACCCACAGCTCGAGTTCTCTATTTTCTCTATTCCCCATTCCACTCTTTGGTTGTGATTCTTAGAAGCCACCACGTGGCCACTAAGGAACAGAGAAGACCGAGAGGATCCCACATCCGAGGGATTCTTTCCCCAAGGAATTTTAAGACAAACTGGAGTGAGAATTAAAGCCCTAGAGGGTCTAATTACCCCAGTTTGCAGAAGAACCTCCCTCACCAGTCCCGCCCAGCCAGGCGGCTAGGGTGCCCACGGCCCCTGCGTCAGCGTGGCCTCTGGCTCTGATCCCTCTCCTGCTGGAGACGGAGGCGAAGCTGGGTTGGGAAGGTGAGCAACACTTAGGACTTTGGCTCTGGGACTCTCTTCCTCACACACACTTCATCTCACAGCTACTAGGCCTTCGGCTGGCTTTCCTTAGGCTGAGCAAGCAGAAGGCTTTCCACCCAAAAGGGCCAGACGGTGGCTGCCTGAACTACTGGTGAGGACACAGACGCAGCCACGCTGAGGCTCGGCCTGGACTTGGTTAGGGGACTGCGACAGTGGCTCTGGAGGTTCTAGAACACCCTGCCTCTGTGTTGCTCCCCACTAGCTTTGTCTTTAGTTTTGGTTTCAGGGAGCAATAGAGCATCACAAACAGCCACATTCTTCTCTGCTTCCCGGTTTATCAAATTCAACCCTTCTGTTGTTTCCTGAATACCTGTTGCAACGAGTAGGATTCTGATAGCTGATGGAACTGACATCGGGGAGCGTGGATCTCCTGTGCCAATAAAGAGACCGTGTTCCCCAGACGAGCCACCCTGGACACTATCAGTGCTGCGGCCGGGCTTGGCCGAGAGACGAGGCAGGCCCCGGGGAAATGAGTGTGTTCCCTTCCAGATGCATCAGTACCTGGGCCAGCAGATGAGCAGTGAACCTCTCCCCGCTGGGCCCACCTGCCCGCTAACAGTTACGACCTGTCATATTAGCAAGACCAAGCCGGTCACCTAACAGCCCTAGCCAGTAACAAGTCAGGATGGAAATGCTCCTTGTTCTACTAGAAAGTATGGGTTTGGTCATGAGGTCGCTGTGCCCTGACTTGCGCCCTGACAAGTTGGGACAACCCAACTTGTCCTTTCCAACCCTTCCCCCCGTGCCAGATTCTCATCTTGTATATGAAGGGACCTGGCTGTCCTCCTTTTCCTCGGCTGCCTGGCGTCTTGAAGCGGCATCACACCACGATGCAGGCGCATTTTCACACGTAGGTGTGCCTGGGTCTTGCAGCCAGAGCCTATGGGCCAGTGACTGTGGAGGTGGGAAAAGGGGGGGGGTCTCACAGGACCAGGGCAGCTTGCTTCCAGTAACAATCTCATTTTCCTTCAAAAGCGAGAGAGTTCACAGATGAGCTTCAGTGGACAATTTAAGCACTTAATCGTTTCTCTTTTAACCTTTCTTCTTATGAATGTGAATTGTGCTGTGGATAAATCATCATTTGTATTGCCTGAATGTTCTCTATGACTAACAGTTATTAAGTCAGTTGTGTATATGTGTAACTAATGTAACTGCCTTTTAAAATTTCATTACAATAAAAATGGCTTTGCTCTGAACGCTGAATAGCCCAGGCCAACTTTGTAATTGAACAATTCGTAGAACCTACTCTTGGAGTTTGGGAGATTATCTCGGATTACGCTTCCTAAGGGCTGTGTTGTGTTGTAGCCAGGAAAGGGTGTAGAATACACATATGCTAAAGAGTGACTCTGTCAAGGGGTCTAGCTATGTAAAATTTAAAAAGAAACTAATAATTCTTGGCTTTTATGTTAGGCAAGGCCCTCTAGAAGGCTCTTTGCAAATGCAATTTTAATTATCATTATAAATCTCTGCTCTGTGGATATTATTCCTGGTTTATAGATTAAGAAACTGGGACTCGGAGAAGTTAAGTGACTTATCTAAGAACACACAGGAAGAAAATGACAGAACCAAGATTTGATCTTAGGTCTCATTACAAAAC